TTTTTTTTTCAAAACTAGCACGATTTGGAGATAATTATCTCAAAAAAGGCTTAGATACTGTCACATAATATTTTTCTCTTGTGTTCAAACAAATTGAGCTTTGCCTCAGGATTAATTGGAAGCTTTATTGTAGGCCTTTTACCTCTAAAAAAATCGAGACTTTCAGTGCGGCCGATGATCGATCCTCGCCTTCCAGTCATTTGATGTTCAATCGAAAAGGTATGTATTCATATCTCTTGTGGATCTTATTCTCTAGTAGTTATCAAACGTAAAAATTCACAAAGTGAAGAGTGTGGTGACTTCAAGTTTTGCTAGTCGTGTCCAAATATGATGTAGGCACTCACTCACGAGGATCCAAAGCGCTGATTTGGTGTTCAAGAGGTACATTTGCCCGGAGCTGACTCAGTTAACCCCATTGCGCACGGGGAGTTTCGCCCACACTGATGTTGACCCGTAAATAGCGAATCGTTCTAGGGTTCCGGTGAAGGGTCGGCCACTCACTCAGGAACAGAATGTAGGGGTTGAAGCTTACAGTGAATGCAAGGCTCTCGCGATTCTTTAGTAAATGCAGTTTTCTTCATGAAATATATGCCTGGTGGAAAAGTGATTTGAAAATTAGGTATACGTCATACCCTGGATACGTGGAGAAATATGGGTGCTCCTGCAGCCTCCTCGTTTTCTTAATACTGTGATACGAACAACAGTTCATTGCGTTGTCATTTTTTCCTTTTATCGCATTTCTTTGCTTGTTGGGTTAATTTTTTCGCTGATTATTTTTTATTTTCTTGGTTTTTTCCTTCTATTCGAGCCCGAAATGACACAGTTCATGCTTAGGCCGAGATATACGGGCCTAGGCATGACCTTTTCAAAAAACGTCGGCAGCTCAAAAATGATCCCTTCGAACTGTGTGCAGAATAGCTTGGAGATCAATGTTGATACGTTGCTGTTCAAAATGATTATGTTGAAATCGCAGATGTTCTTTCGGATTCTGAAAATTTTATCATTTTTGTTAATTTCTGATGTATTGGAAACAGTTCCCGAATTGGGGCAATCTACATCTCTCTCCCATATTTCAGTATCCGATTTACCAACGTATGCCACCAGAGAAGCCCACTCTCAGCCTTCATCAGCATACTTCTGTCATCAGACGGGAAATGAGCGGTTAGTGGAGTAACGACAGCTTTCGTTTCTCAAAGAAGGATTTCTGTAGACCGTGAAAACCGCGGTCGCACATTCATGACATTCTCATAGCAGCGATTGCGCGCAGCGATCGTATAAGTTTTGCTAAGAGTTGTTTTTCGATTTTTTACCTATTTTCTTGTTGTTATAAGTTTTTGTTTGTTTTCTTTTATTCGCTAATTGGTTTCCGTTAGTTTCTTTTGTTACACGGTTTCTCTTGTTTTCAGTGTTGTGTTAGCGTTGCTGAATATGCTGTCAGCGTACCAGCAACAACGTGTTTCACAACGACAAGCAGGTACAGTTACTTTTCATCTTTGCTTCGCTTTCGGTACTGATTCACTTACGATTCATTTTGTTTTTTCTTATTGGAATGAAAAGCTCTTCACTTACACTAACCCTAAAGCGTTTATCAGCTCTTTTTACTCTTTACTGTAAGAAGAGTGGTGGACGCTGTTGTATTTCAGCTGCCTAACATCTTCGTTGTATACACAGTTGAATTAAGCTTTGTGAGCGTAAAAATATGCCATATTTCTCAAACCCTCCAACAACGAAGCTTTCTGTCTGGGGCATTTTTCCAAGGCTCTATGGATCCGAGTTAGGTCAATATCAGTACCGTTCTTACAAATCATCAGCGCCTCCTTTTTCTACACTTCCCTTCTAAGAGCAAACTTGTTTTTTCTTCTTTTTTATTGAGAGTAAAATGTTACGGCGTTCGTTTTGATCCACAAAATCAATTTGGAGTCACGATCGTGATCATAGCTATCAGACAGTGATCGTCAAATATGAATTTACAGTGCAGTTCTCAGTCAGTTCTTTTCCTCCGATTTTCGCTTCTCTCACACTCGCTTTAAGGCATATGCCGGTTATTTAGCTGCACCTTGCTGGCAGAAAGTTATTGGTTTCAGTTTTATTACCCAGTATTATTAACTCCCTGTCCCCAAGTGTTCAAGTTCAAAAGAATGTCCACTCAATGGCGCAGAATGTGGGAAAACTTTTTCAGAGCATGGTTTGAAGGTTTGAAGTGAAGAGTAATGGGGAGCTGTCACCATTATTAGGCGTGACTTAACTCTTTACCCAGGTCATCGTTGTTGAAGGTCTTGGGCGGGACGTGACGTAGAATGATTGGTGTGGTATGCACGCAGTGATTCAATTCTACAGTTCGATAGAGGTTATTTTCATGTATAGATAAGTGGGTCTGACGACCATACAAAGTTTTCAAAAAGGAAGAAAGGAGACTCGTGGACTGATCTTTTTAGAAGTTCCTGGTTAAAAGCTCCTGGAGCTTTGTCGCATTTGGTTGTCGAAAAGACTGTTACTGTCCGTGAAATAGTGACAAAGTCTAGCATGATTTTTTTCTTACGTCATTATGGCCCTGCTGGCTGGACGCTACCTACACTTGCTGACTGCCGAACGCCTTCCGTTGGCTGGCTTGTGAATTGAAGTAGATTTTGTTCGTTAGCTTCGCTCGAGTTTCCCTCAAACAATCTGTAGCACACACCTTAGGTGTGAAAATTACTCACAAAATTTGCTTGCAGGAAAGTGAAGAGCATTCTTTATTCCGATATCGTTCTTCATTTCTTGATAGTTTTGATCTTTCTGTTTCGTTCAAACTGATCGGCTGAATAGGTTCAGGATGTGTACTGTTAGTCGGTTTTCAGGTTCAACATAGACCTTTGATTTCAGGTGGGCTCGGCAGATATGTGTCAGAGTTGGATTGCTCCGAAGAAGATGGCATAGATCTGTCGGCCACCCTTCAACAGCAGCAACTCAATACAGGGCAAATATCAGGAGCACTTGGAGCGTGAGTTACATGAGAATTTTTTTGGTATGTTTGAACTCGATATTTGTCTGGGTATTTTTATCGTTACTTGATGTGTCTAGTATTGGCTGAAACAATCTGCTGAAACAACAAACAAACAACAACAAAGACATGCTAAAGCCAGAGCTATTTGAAATCATAAATAAAAGCATAGTACCAAAAAAAACAAAGTGTACCTACATCTAAACAAAGTGTACCTACATCTAGTCATGAGTTCGATATTGGTGAAGGTTCAATTGTTGTTAACAGTCATGTTATTTTTCTGTTTTATACAGCTTTTCTTAAAAAACCGTAAAGCCAGTCAATGTATAAGGTAGCATACCCTGAGGAACACCGTTCAGGTGAGTGAGAAATGACCGATGAGTAAGTATTCTCGATCACTTTCGTAAACTGTGCTCCGTGATTAGAGTTAGAAGACTCAAATCGGACTGAGTTGGCTCTGTGTAGTGTTTGGAGCACATTTTATGGGCTTCCTACTCTGCGAATGTTCTACCAAAACGAATAGACTCACTTCCTTCTGCAATCATCGGGTAATACTACAAATTTCAAAGCATCAGGTCTCACCAAGTCAAGGCAAGTTCAAGATGTTCCGATTACAGTTCGATTATTGATCAAATAACGTCCAATTATTGATAGATTTACGTTCGATTATTGACTGACTCAACTACAGTCGTAGCCAACTCATCAGTATGCGCGTGTCATGGATTAAAGTATAAAGTAAAGTCATCGAGGGGATCCAGAAAAAAAGCTTATTTTGTTATCTATTAACAACTCATAACAAAATGCCAACTTGCCAACAACAACTGCAGAGGATTTTCAAAGTTATAGTGCTGCCACAGGGGACATTAACTTACTTTTTCGACTTCTGACAACTACTACCGGGCGTAATGCCAGGTAAGGACGAATACAAAGTAATGCGTTTATTCAAAAAGATGTCATTAAACGACGTGTGATCCTGTTCTCGATCTCAGTGGTTTATTAATTGTAAGTTATTGGAAAAGAACTTTAAAAAAATGCTCCAAAAAAGCAAAGGCCCGAGGTTTCCTGGCTTACATTCTCCACGTTCCGCTCTACCCTCTGACCGAAAACAGTACCTATGCAGGACTCCGCTTATAGGGAGCAGGTGCTAGCGTCCAACTACGAAATGGGTGCAGGCAATGGGTCAGTTTCACTTTTTTGTGTTGAAGTTCTGAACTAACCCTAAAGTGCGCCATGCTGTTCTTACTGTAACCCTCGCTTAATTCCAGCGTTTGCTGGCTGCCACAGCGTCCTAGCTTTACTGTGAGTTCTTCTACTAATTTCGTTCAGGAGTCTTCAGGATAGCACAAACTCTCCTCCCTATCTATAGGCTCTCCCCTCTATCTGTTTGTACCCACTGTTTTTCCTCCCTCTATGCTTTGGAGCAGAGTTTAGGATTTCCTGGAAAACACTACCCAGATAATAGCTCACGCTCTGCCTAGCAGGGCAGGGCTGCGCTCATAATGAGTATGCTTAACCCACCTTAGATGTTACTTCTTCTGTCAAAGTACATACTAGCATTTCTTAGAATTTTAGCTTTAAGCGCCGCCTCTCCAGGAAACATCTTGTAGGTTGATCTCACGCTTTCTAGCTGCTTACCTTTATCATACTGCTCCCATATCCTTCTGGTGAGCTATGAAAAGGATTCAGACAGTGATCGTCCTAGTTATTTGGGCAGAAGAGTGGGGAAAGTACACGTTTAGTTGTTTATGAAAAGGACTGTAGGGGAAAATTCTTCTGAGAATGATACTCAGATCGGGAGATTTTTCCCCGTTAGGTCAATTTCCCCGTATGAATACTATGCGCTTTGTATATGGAAGCTATATGACTTGTGTAGTTCCGCGATTGTGCAGCAATGTGGACAGACGGTCATCAATCATGTCGCAAACCGTGGCTTCATCGTCGTATTTAGATAGGACCCGTTTTGTTGTAGGAACCTTCAGATCTACTTGATTTATTTCCATGCCACAACTAAACCCCCAAATTCTTTTGAGAGCGTTCATATAAGTTCAGGACGATAGAGATAAGAAAGTTTGAAGTTGTTAAGGAAGTGCCCATAGGCTAGCATTTCCAATATGTTCAGATTATACTCGTAGAGGGAGTTTGAGATGAAGGCCAACGGCCAAAAGTCATAGGAGGATCGATTTCCGTCAGAGCTGTCTTTCTTGTGGATTGAAACCAATGCTGGCTAATAATGTCGGTCAGTGTCTTCAAAAGTCTCAACGTGCTGCTTGCCTCAAGTTGTCCTCATGTTTTATTTGGCCCTCGTCTATTGTGTAATTCTTATGAAGGGTCATTTTGGTACGTGGGATCTCACTTGAATTGCTCGGATTGAAACGGATTATCTTCAAGAATGTTTGGATGGGTAAGATCGTGAAAGGGTCAGCCCAGTTTAGCAAGCTACACGAACTCCGAATTCACATCGTCACTCCGAACTCAGAAATTTTTTTGTTCGTGGCCGCTGTATACATATACTTCTTTTGAATGGAGAGAGTCATGGCTGCGTCAAAAGTCAAAATTGATCGTTTGTTGAATAGTTGCAATTGGACAAAGCGATAACTGCTAGCCTTTTTGTTGAGTTCTTTGAACATTCTTTTTCGAAACCTGGGAAAGTCTGTTTTTTCCAGTTCCTTTGTTTTATGAGCCCGGTATCAATCGATCACATAAGGTTTTATGTTAAGGTTAAACAATGACCAATGAGTTTTGTATAAATGAGCTGGTCTGGCAAATTTCTATCAGGTGTGTATAGTGACTAGTCGTCTGTGTTCGTTGAGTCACGTAGCTGCGAAAGTTTACGTATATTGTGTCAGTAGAAGTGAAGAATCTGGTAGCTACAGGCAGTTTCAAGCCTAGGTTGCGCGGATGTCTCAGCGCTAAGGGTCTTATTTACACATCAAGAGAGGAGGGGGTTGTGTTTGCGAAGGTGGTGAAGGGTTCTAATGGGTAATATTTGATGTCTTTCTGGTTTTTTTGTATTTGTTTGTTGTTTTTTGTGTGTTACGTGCCCTGTTCTCAAGGTGAGGGGTGTAGAGGATCATACACATATAGTCATTCTTCGCAAGACCACGCATGATGTTGTTGGAGGGTAGCCAAGGAACTAAGCCGCTTAGTGAAAGCGCAGCCTGAGAACAGAGAGCCTCCACTGAGTCATATGCATGATTTGTTTGCGTTGTACGTGTACCGTCGATTTGTAATGCATGCGTCTGCACTGGACGCTCTACAACCGCGCGCTCGATATGCACCAATTGCGTCACTCATTAATACCATGACTATGCTTTGCTGATAACAAAATCTGGCAGTATATAGTATGGATTTGGAGATCGTGGCGTATACTGGGATAGTCGTTTGGTCATTTTTTTCACCAACATTTAATGAATACTTCCTGCAGATAGTGTAAATTTCATAAGGTATTAAAAGATTGAGTTGAATCGATCGATCCTACAAGTAGCGCCGTGCTCTCAACACCTCTCAGCTGCAACAGGCTAATTGATTGCCTCC